TGTTTTTAAATTTTCATTTTCTTTTTTTAAATTGTCATTTGCATTTTTTAGGTCTTGATTTTTTTGTTCTAACAGAGGATTGTTTGATTTTAAAAATTCTATTTCTTTTTCTAAATTTTTCTTATCGGCACTTAGGGTATTGATTATTTCTTGTATTCTGTCGAGTTCTCCTGAACCACTCAGAATTTTGAGAATTTTTGGACGAACATTTTCAATATTTTCAGACATTTTGTTAGAAAATAATTGAATAAATTGTTTATTTATAAAAATAATGTTTAAAGTAATAATATAAATAAATTGTATATGTATAAAATACTATAACTAATATAAACTATTGAAATATTTATTTTTTATTCTTTATTAAAACAATTCTTTGAAATTTTTCGGGAGTTGTATATTTTCCTTGATAATCTAAATAATAAATATAATTAAACAAAGAAATGAATAAAACTAAAAAAAAAAAAAAAACAAAAAAAAAAAAAATACCTGGCATTGCATTTCGTCTATTCTGAAGCAAAGTAAGGTAAATTGGTTCAAATAAATCATCAACACTTATATCATCTATACCATTTTCTATTGAATCATTGTCTGATTTTTCTTTTTTAAAAACCCAATAACAATAGTGTAATTTGTAAAAAAAAGTCTGATCATAACTAGTCTTAGTCCATCTAAGTTATGTTTAGGATTAAAATTAGGAACCAAGTCATATTCTTTTTTAATAATATTTTGCCATATTTTCTTATTAAATATTTTTTCACTTTCTAGATCAGTTACTTTAAACAAATTATCGACCATCGTTTTCACACTCAATGGGTTGCTTTTTCCAACTATAAAGTAATAACATCTCATTAGTTTTCTTACAAAACTAATTTCAGGTCTATTTTCAAATTGTTCTTTGTTCAAAATATCTTGACTGTTTTCATAACAAGTTTTCACCAAAGCATCCATACTTCCTAATTTTCCATTAAACGATTTAGGATCATTTATTTTAGTTTTAGGATCCAACTTTTTTAGACATCTTAATAACATCTCTTGAATAGGACCGGTTATTTCAATTTCTTCACAGGCTTTTACTAAATTTTTAAGCATAGAGATCAAACTATCACCAGTTTGAAAAGGGATTCCAAGT